AGATGAGCATTAGACACATCTCTGAGCAGCCACACGCAAGCGTTCCCGTGACTGGGTCAGATTCTGCACTTACCACATGTCTCAAATTCCAAGAAAATATCCTCTGCCTCCCCACGGGAGACCAGGGGCACCCCTTCAGGAAAACAGCCCCAGGACACAAACCCCACACACGTCCCCTCCACAGGCGCCATACGCACCCGGGATCCGAAGACAGTGGCTGGTGAGCGAGGTCGGCTCCTCTCCCTCCCGGCAGGGACTGCAGTCCTGGCTGACTCTTCCTGGGAAGAAGTCTGGAGAGACGGGGGCGGGGGGGCAGGGCGCCTCGTGGCAGGGCTTCTGGGGGAGGCTCTGGCCTGAGCACCTGCTCAGCCCTCTTCTCCCTCTTTGGCCTTCAACTGTGAGCCCTCCGTGGAGGCGGAGCTCCGGCTGGTGCCGAGGGGTTGGGTTTCTTGACCTGGCCACTTCCTTCCTTCCTCTCTTTCTTTCTTTCTTTTTCTTTTTAAGTCAACCCGCATTTGAAGAAAGAAAACCCGCAGATGTTTAGTTACTTGAAGCGGGGATTTAGGTAAAGGAAGGGGAAGCTGTTGGTGAAAATTCATTTCTAGAAAGGTAATAGCCTAGTCATCTCGGGTCCTTTGGGAAGACGGTGGCTATATATAGCTTGTTCTTTAGAAAGGAGCACATGTTTGCCGGGACACAGGGTTTTCCTCAGCACCTCACCATGAGTTCAATAAAGCCAGGTTTCTGACCAGTTCTCGTTTATCCAGTGATAAGCCCCTCCCCGTGCACTCGTGTGTAAGGACATATCTACTCTCGCAACATTTCATGTGAGAGAAACAACTCAGACCATCCTGACTGGCCACAAGCTTTTAACAGCACCGGAGTGTGAATGTGTGCTACAAGCACTCACAGGATAATCAGCGCCAATCAGGGAAAGATAGAGCATGGAGAAGAAATGTTCTAGTCATCCCTCACCCGTCAGAAGATACGTTGAGTGTTCCCACCGCGGCACGCGCAGAGCTTTTCCGCATCCTGGAAAAACTGGCCAGGCAGAAGAAACCTGCAGAAAGGCTGTGTAGTGGGGATAGCTAAAGAAAAGAATGACTAAGAAAAATGAGACGAGGCCCCTGGAGCAAGTGGTTTGGAGGCTGTTGTGCGGCGAGAGGATTCATTTAACAACAGTGCGGCCTGATGGGTCCGCAAGGAGGCCCAAGTGGGCAGAAACTCCAGGGAAAGAAAGTGAAAACAAGGAAGCAAAGTGTGGCTTATACCTCGGTTCCAGTGACGAAAAAGGCAGCCTTACAGATAACCAGTTCCCTACGACTAGACTGGCGCCGGGTAGAAGACTCTGTTCCTACTAGGAGCCCGCACTGGACTGTCTCCAGTATCTTCCTGGCTTCAAGGGACGATGGCTTTCTGCGCAGCCTCTGGTCTTCCTGACACCTGTGAACTCATCAGACGTCTCTGTCTTAGATCCCACATCGGCTGGAATTCCAGGTAGCTTTACAGCAGGGAAACCTACTTGGATTAATTCTCTGCTTCCCTTTGTGTATCTCCAGCACAGAATGTATCAAAAGTAAATAAGACAAGTTTACTTAATGGTAAAGTAGTGGTAAACTGATTCTTCTTCTGTTTAAGTGATCCTGCTTCCCTCCCCCCCCCCCCCCCCCCCGCCCCAGTACTGGGGCTTGAACTCAGGGCCTGGCCACTGACCCTGAGCTGCTTCTGCTCAAGGCTGGCACTCTATCACATGAGCCACAGTACCACTTCCAGCCTTTTTTTTTTTTTTTTCCTGTTTATGTGGTCATGAGGAATCAAACGTAGGGCCTCATGCACACAAGGCAAGCACTCTACCACTGAGCCACCCTCCCGGCCCCTGCTTTTGTTTTTGAGACTGAGTTTTTGCATATTGCATATTGGCTTCAAATTCCTGAGCTCAAGAGCTCTTCCTGCCTTAAGTTGCTCAGTAGCTGGGGTTATAGGTGCATGCCACTGTACCTGGATTCAGTCTTTGATTGTACTTCCTTGAGTCAGGTAATGGAGACTAAAGCATTCAATGTTACTTTTACTCAAGTAAAAATTGACCTTTTATTCATATTTATTATATTGATGATAATGGAAAGGGCCTTCTAGAAACCTCTGTTGGCACCAGTAATATCATCTTCAAAGGTATCAATGATTAATTCTGCTTCTACCGGAGCAGCACTGAGATGGTCCTTTTGACAGATAGAGGTAGAAACACATCAAGAAGAACAAATTGTCAAAAAAAAACGGAAGAGCTAAGAGAGGCTGCAATAAAAAGCCATATTTAAGAGCACCCACCATATGCAAACACTCAGCAGCTGCTGGGAACATAGGGTAGGGGACACAGCTGGAAAAGCAACTGGCCAGCAGATTGTAGTTACGGTAGGAAACGTGGTGCTCTTCACTGACGCCATGGGGACCTGCTGTCTCCCATTGCGTTAATGAGATTGGCAGTTTAGACAGAACATTCAGACATCTGGAGGGGTCACGTTAGACCCTGGCTGCGGGTGCTCGTGCCCACCTCTTGCATGGACTTCCCCCTGCCCTGCCTCCCGCTGGCCTGACCCACAGTCAGTTCAAGTGTAAGTCCTGCGAGGGCAGGGATAATTACCTGTTTTGTTCGCGAGTGAATCTCAAGTATCTGAAATGTGTTTGGCACAAAGCAGATGGTAAATCATTGCTTACTAATTGGACAGATAGATGAATGAACACACTCATATTGACATTAATACAAGGAGGTCACAGAGCAAGAGAACTGAGCCTATGTATGCAGAATGACTAATGGAAGACCACAGAACTGGGTAAAGAAAGGGGAAAGTGAGGTTCCTTATTGGGTTAAATGAGATGCCCAGGTTTACCCCTCCTTGGATGCATTGCCGAATTGCGTTAGGAAGGGTCGCAGGCTCCTTTGCTCCTTGCCCTGGAAGAGTGGTGCTGTGCTGCGCTGCGCTGCGGCAGCTTCTTGCTCTTCCTGTCCACCCACGGAGGTGAACTTCGGCTCTGTTAAGCTGTGTTTTTCTTCACCACACTCAACGGACTGCCTCTTTAGCCACCACAGCCTTTTGCGCTATGAAGGCCATTTTGTTGCTCGTCTCTTTTCTTGCATCAGTCTACCCCCGTTGTACGCGCTCTGGCGTCACCTTCCAGTCTTGTTCATTTCCAAATTCGTTTTACTGTTTTTACGCACATGTTCCCCTTTTACGTCTTTGAGGTGTCATTTTTTTCGTTGATTTAATTATTTAGGACAGGCTTCCTCATCCCAAGGTTATAAGGCATTCCTGGCAGGGTGTCTGTCACTCATGCCCATAACCCTAGCTTCTCAGGAGGCTGAGATCTGAAGATTGCAGTTCAAAGCCAGCTTGGGCAGAAAAGTCCATGGAACTTTTATTTTGTCAGTACAGAGCTTGAACTCAGGGCCTGGGCGCTGTCCCTGAGCTCGTTTGTTCAAGGTGAACACGCTACCCACTTTGCGCCACTGTGCCACTTCCTGTTTCCTGATGGTTAGAGATAAGAGTCTCACAGGGACTTTTCTGCCGGGGCTGGCTTTGAATCATGATCCTCACCTCTCAGCCTCCTGAGTAGCTAGGATGACAGGCGTGAGCCACCAGCGGTGGTGGTACTGGACCTCACAGAGATTGACAGCTGGAGTAAACCTGGCATAAGAGTTTATGCTGCCGTCTTTGCTCAAGTGGAAATGGCCTAAAATGTCTGCAAATGGCGACTAAATGTATTCAGAGACTACGAGAGGCTTTTTCCATGTGGACGTGATCCAACCTCCATGAATGGCTTTGCATCTGCTTAATCTGAAGAATCTTAAAATGATAATCCCAAGAGATCAGAGATAAGTAAGGGTTTGTGTGTGAGTAAGGCGGTCACATTTGTGAGGATTTACAGCAATGTTAGGGTGGTGGGGGTTTGTGGGTCTAGGGCAATGCTGGAGGTGGCCGAGTACATCAAAGACAAAATGTAAAGCAGGCTTTGAATCTGAGGCTTCTGTTCTAACAAGCAGAGTTCTCACTTGACAGAGCTGAGCTGTACGGCTGGCCCAAGTTTGACAAAGCTAAGCTGTCTCCTTCGATCTCCTGTGAATTTCTGGAATAGTACAAGTAGAGAGCCATTGCTATTTGTTCACAGCTGACACTCAGCTAAGGCAGCTTCATTTGTGGCAAATGGCATGCCAGTGCTAAAAAAAGAACTCATTTCATCGGTGGCTTAGATTACCCATCAAGGAGGCTCCAACGTGAGCTGTTTAAATTAACCATAATAAAATCGACTAAATAAGTAAAAGAAATCGACTAAATAGCTCTGTTACTTTAAAATGGTACCTGGAATGTGGCAGGCAACCAATAAATACATGGCAGATGGAAGAATAAAGCTCTTTTAACCGGTGCTTATGACCCACGCTGGGACACAAAGAAGGAAGATGGGATTTCAAGCTTGTAATACAAGGTCAGCGATTACTATTAGCTCTGTGACACCAGACTCCATTCAGTTCCTTAGTCCTAAAACCAAGAGTGGTCCTGGACGACTCCCACTCTTGAAACTCGTCAGCACATAACCACAGCTGCCACCTTCTCCATCTGCCCCGCGCACGCCATTCCTGCAGCTCCCCACTGGCCTCCTCCTCCAGTGAGCTGTCCCTCGATGGCTCTTGTGACGGCTCTGCTCACAGCCCGCATGAAATCACATCGTCAGGGACCACAGGGCCCTTCCGGACTGGTCTCTGCCTCCCACGCTCAGCTCTCATTTCCCTTCTCCCTCCCTTCCCCAAATGCCCCAGACATGCTGGCCTGCCTTTTCTTCCTAAAACATACTGCTGCATACCCCCATTCCATCCGCCTGGAGAGTTCCTCACATGACCGCTGTCTCTTCCCCAGGTCATCTCCTGCGGATGTCCGTCCTCCCTGGCCTGCTTAGTCACCATCCAGACCTCTTCATCTAGTCACTGCGTCGCTCCCTGCGGGGAGGGATCCCACCTGACAGGCTGTGTTCACTTGCTTCCTTCTGTCTCCACACAGAGGCCCTCAGCCTCTGTCTCCTTCCTCTCTTTTTCACCAGCACTCAGCTCACAAGCTGTTAAAGGTGCGTCTGTGAAGGTCCACTTTCTCCTATAGGGATCGTGAGAAATAAAATCTGAAAAGTGTGGCGTCCACGTCCATCCGTTCACTCTGGATGGAAAAGTGAGATCAGTTCATTCCAACTGTGCAACTCCTTCATTGTCAGGGCAGAGTCCAGACTGAGCTGGCTCTCAGCGGCAGGCTCACCACGAAAACTTTGGACAGAGCCCAAACAAGGAGATTTTATGGCTGAGTACACCGTGCAAAGGAATGCACACTGAGGGTGGAAGGAGAGCTCCCGAGGAAAATACCAGGGATGGGTGAAATGTCCCATAAGAATGAAGTCTGTGTGTGTGTGTGTGCGCGCGTGTGCACGGGTCCCATGATAATAAGCTCTGTGGATGTGTGCGTGTGTGTGTGTGTGCGTGCGTGTGCACGGGTCCTATGGCAATAAGCTCTGTGTGTGTGTGCGTGCGTGTGTGTGCATGGGTCCCATGATAATAAGCTCTGTGTGTGTGTGTGTGCGTGTGTGTGTGTGTGTGTGTGCGCGTGTGCACGGGTCCCATGATAAGCTCTGTGGATGTGTGTGTGTGTGCACGCATGTGTAGGAGCAGCTCTTACTATCAGCAGTGGAAGTAAGGTTCTACAGCAGGCCAGGAGCCGCCATGGAGCTGTGTGTCTTGGAGAGGTGCAGCAGGCCAGGCAAGGGAGGACACAGCCTTCCTGTTTGCTTCTCACAGACCGTTCTGAACAAATACAACTTTTTACGGGATTGGATTCAGCCCCGGGGGTTATGGGCCGGTCCAAACCTCCTAGCATAACATTGATGCGTGGGTTAGACCAAACATGCATTATACTCATCTATACATTCTTTACTTGGCTGTAGACTCATTATACTCATTTGTATATTCATACTTATCCATATAGTCACAACACTCATATATATTCATACTTGTCTCTCTCTATACTATACTCATCTATATAGATGGGTGTACTCATCTATGGATTTGTCTATGTACTCACACTCATCATTATACTTACAATATTCACCTATAGATGTACCATAGTCATCTGTGTACACATTATGCTCATCTATTCTTACTCATGTATATACCCATACTCATCGATACACACATTATAGTCACCTGTATACCCATACTCACCTCATAGTCCTCTGTATATACATTATGCTCATCTATATACGTATTATAGTCATCTATATGCTCATTATGCTCATCTATATATGCATTACATTCATGTATGTACTCACAGTCACCTATAAACACATACTTATTTATATACTCAGGATAGCCATGTATATACGCATACTCATCTATATACTGGTGTGTATCTATGTACTCATGCTAATTTACATACTCATACTCATCTATACACTGGTGTGTAT